CACCTACAACCTGAAAATAAAAGGTTGGAGAACCATTTACCATTCAAATGGCCCTCAAAAGAAAGCAGGGTAGCCATCCTCATATCAGATAAACTAAAATTTACCCTGAAGACTAGTGAGAGATGAAGAGGGACACTATATCATACTTAAATGATCTATCCAGCAAGAGGACTTAACAATCCTCAATATATATGCCCCCAATGTGGGAGCTGCCAAATATTTAAACCAATTAATAACCAAAGTGAAGAAATACTTAGATAATAATACACTTATACTTCGCGACTTCAATCTAGCTCTTTCTACCCTCGATAGGTCTTCTAAGCACAACATCTCCAAAGAAATGAGAGCTTTAAATGATACACTGGACCGATGGATTTCACAGATATCTACAGAACTTTACATCCAAACTCAACTGAATACACATTCTTCTCAAGTGCACATGGAACTTTCTCCAGAATAGACCACATACTGGGTCACAAATCGGGTCTGAACCGATACCAAAAGATTGGGATCGTCCCCTGCATATTCTCAGACCATAATGCCTTGAAATTAGAACTAAATCACAACAAGAAGTTTGGAAGGACCTCAAACACGTGGAGGTTAAGGACCATCCTGCTAAAAGATGAAAGGGTCAATCAGGAAATTAAGGAAGAATTAAAAGATTCATGGAAACTAATGAGAATGAAGATACAACCGTTCAAAATCTTTGCGATGCAGCAAAAGCAGTCCTGAGGGGGAAATACATCGCAATACAAGCATCCATTCAAAAACTGGAAAGAACTCAAATACAAAAGCTAACCTTACACATAAAGGAGCTAGAGAAAAAACAGCAGATGGACCCTACGCCCAGCAGAAGAAGAGAGTTAATTAAAATTCGAGCAGAACTCAATGAAATCGAGACCAAAAGAACTGTGGAACAGATCAACAGAACCAGGAGTCGGTTCTTTGGAAGAATTAATAAAATAGATAAACCATTAGCCAACCTTATTAAAAAGAAGAGAGAGAAGACTCAAATTAATAAAATTATGAATGAGAAAGGAGAGATCACTACCAACACCAAGGAAATACAAACAATTTTAAAAACATATTATGAACAGCTATACACCAATATATTAGGCAATCTAGAAGAAATGGACGCATTACTGGAAAGCCACAAACTACCAAAACTGGAACAGGAAGAAATAGAAAACCTGAACAGGCCAATAACCTCGCCGATACATGATACTCTACATAGAAAACCCAAAAGCTTCCACCCCAAGATTGCTAGAACTCATACAGCAATTTGGTAGCGTGGCAGGATAAAAATCAATGCCCAGAAATCAATGGCATTTCTATACACTAACAATGAGACTGAAGAAAGAGAAATTAAGGAGTCAACCCCATTTACAATTGCACCCAAAAGCATAAGATACCTAGGAATAAACCTAACCAAAGAGGTAAAGGATCTATACCCTAAAAACTATAGAACACTTCTGAAAGAAATTGAGGAAGACACAAAAAGATGGAAAGATATTCCATGCTCATGGATTGGCTGAATTAATATTGTGAAAATGTCAATGTTACCCAGGGCAATGTACACGTTTAATGCAATCCCTATCAAAATACCATGGACTTTCTTCAGAGAGTTAGAACAAATTATTTTAAGATTTGTGTGGAATCAGCAAAGACCCCGAATAGCCAGGGGAATTTTAAAAAAGAAAACCATAGCTGGGGGCATCACAATGCCAGATTTCAGGTTGTACTACTAAGCTGTGGTCATCAAGACAGTGTGGTACTCGCACAAAAACAGACACATAGATCAATGGAACAGAATAGAGAACCCAGAAGTGGACCCTGAACTTTATGGTCAACTAATATTCGATAAAGGAGGAAAGACTATCCACTGGAAGAGAGACAGTCTCTTCAATAGATGGTGCTGGGAAAATTGGTCATCCACATGCAGAAGAATGAAACTAGACCACTCTCTTGCACCATACACAAAGATAAACTCAAAATGGATGAAAGATCTAAATGTGAGACAAGAGTCCATCAAAATCCTAGAGGAGAACACAGGCAACACCCTTTTTGAACTCGGCCACAGTAACTTCCTGCAAGATTCATCCATGAATGCAAAAGAAACAAAAGCAAAAATGAACTATCGGGACTTCATCAAGATAAGAAGCTTTTGCACAGCAAAGGATACAGTCAATAAAACTAAAAGACAACCTACAGAATGGGAGAAGATATTTGCAAATGACGTATCGTATAAAGGGCTAGTTTCCAAGATCTATAAAGAACTTATTAAGCTCAAAGAAACAAACAATCCAGTCATGAAATGGGCAAAAGACATGAACAAAAATCTCACAGAGGAAGACATAGACATGACCAACACACACATGAGAAAATTCTCTGCATCACTTGCCATCAGGGAAATACAAATCAAAACCACAATGAGATACCACCTCAAACCAGTGAGAATGGGGAAAATTAACAAGGCAGGAAACCACAAATGTTGGAGAGGATGCGGAGAAAGGGGAACCCTCTTACACTGTTGGTGGGAATGTGAACTGGTGCAGCCACTCTGGAAAACTGTGTGGAGGTTCCTCAAAGAGTTAAAAATAGATCTGCCCTATGACCCAGCAATTGCACTGCTGGGGATTTACCCCAAAGATACAGATGTAATGAAACGCCAGGACACCTGCACCCCGATGTTTATAGCAGCAATGTCCACAATAGCCAAACTGTGGAAGGAGCCTCGGTGTCCATCGAAAGATGAATGGATAAAGAAGATGTGGTCTATGTATACAATGGAATATTACTCAGCCATTAGAAACGACAAATACCCACCATTTGCTTCAATGTGGATGGAACTGGAGGGTATTATGCTGAGTGAAGTAAGTCAATCGGAGAAAGACAAACATTGTATGTTCTCATTCATTTGGGGAATATAAATAATAGTGAAAGGGAATATAAGGGAAGGGAGAAGAAATGTGTGGGAAATATCAGAAAGGGAGACAGAACATAAAGACTCCTAACTCTGGGAAACGAACTAGGGGTGATGGAAGGGGAGGAGGGCGGGGGGTGGGGGGAATGGGTGACGGGCACTGAGGGGGGCACTTGACGGTATGAGCACTGGGTGTTATTCTGTATGTTGGTAAATTGAACACCAATAAAAAATAAATTTATTAAGAAGAAAAAAGAATGTTGTATGGTGATGATTAGTATCTATACTTGTGAGCATAGCATAATGTTCCAATTTGAATTATGTTGTAAACCTGAAGCTAATACAATACTGTGTAAACAATACTCAAAAATAGTTTAATAAACACACGATTAATTTAAAGTACAACTAATAACTCAAAAGATAATTTAACTAACCCACTTACCAGGTTGGGAGAAATATAGATTGAAGCAATGCTCATAAGAGCGAATTCTTAAATGCTTGAAATTGGCAATCCATTTAACATAGAATCATCACTTGACTCTTCTTTTATTATAGTTTTATCCCATGATTCCTTCTAGGATATTTCTTCAAGGCAACGGATGCATTTACAGTACTCTTAGAACATTAGTGCCTAACCCAGTATGTGATGGCTTACAGTTAAATTTTATAATCACTGATAGGGTACCTGAACTGATTGCTCTTTTTGATAATTTTAACATCATGGCTCCCATCCTTTTATTAGGCACACAAGGAAGTAAATGTATTGGCAATTTGGTAGCTTAAGAGAATTCAGTTTAATAGAATTCAGTAGTTTAGATAGCATTCAGATAAAATTACCCACTGCCTCAAGTTGCTGAATTTTATTAATTATGCTCATCAATGCACACTGTGCAAATAATGCTTTGGGGACCTTTCACATACTTTTTGTTTGCATGTGGACATGAACCAAATCTAGGAAGAGCAAATGCCTTACTAATCTTCAACCAGCAAATTCCACCACTCCACCAACAATCAAAAAACCAAAGAAACAACCAAAACAAACAAACAAAAAAACCCACTCAGAAACAGAAATTAATTTTGACAATATCAGTTAATAAAAGCAAAATATCTAGAAATCACTTCTATCAGGACAAAAAGAAAGAATGAGAGAAAAAGGCTAGGTAGGGGACTCTGGTTAACAGAAAAGCTTTAGAACTAGATTTCCTGCATTGAAGTTCTTGCCCTCCTACATACTTTGAACATAGTAGTTCTCTAAGTCTCAATTCTTTAATCTGTAAAATTGAGGCAACCATAATTGCCAACCCTGTGGACCAACCTATGGATTAAATTAAGAAATGATAACGCACACAAAGCAGCAAAATACATGGAACAAAGCACATATGCTGGAGTGATTATTTAAATACCATTTCAGAACATAGTTGTTGACATATTGAAATGATTTTAGCAAACCTTGGCTACAATGTTCAAATTCTTTTTTTTTAAATCTTATTTTTTTTTTTTAAATTTATGATAGTCACAGAGAGAGAGAGACAGAGACACAGGCAGAGGGAGAAGCAGGCTCCATGCACCGGGAGCCCGATGTGGGATTCGATCCCGGGTCTCCAGGATCGCGCCCTGGGCCAAAGGCAGGCGCCAAACTGCTGCGCCACCCAGGGATCCCCAATGTTCAAATTCTTAATGAAAAACAAAATTCTAGTTCTTTAATTCTGTTTCCACAGAGAGCATTTAACAATTAAAAAATATAGCAATAATTTCTTGGACTTGCATAGTACTTAAGCACTTTCACATTTATTTTCTTGCCTTATATTTGCAACATAATCTAGACTAGTTCATTAACAGAGGTTATTACCCTCCATTTGGCAGGAACAGTGAAAGGCTTAGACAGGTCATCACAGTTTCATACAGTACCACACCAGTGATTATAATCAAGACTTCAGATTTGATCATATCTCACTACCTACATTACCACTCCCTCCCATGATGCTCTATACTCAGTTGATGGCTGATGATAAATTTCTCCAGATTTAGATTCCAGATAAACCACCATTCCCTTTTTTCCCCCTACAGCAGTACTTACTGGTCGGGACTGGATTTCTTTGGCGTAGAGAGGTTGCAAGAATTCGGAGTCTCCTTCTAGTTTTAGACCTTTGTCTGTGATTCTCAAATTCCCCATTCCATCCTGAAATAGATGCACGGAGATAACATAGAAAATGCGATTAGCTAATATTTCAAAAAAATCTCAGGCTTTCAAGAATTGAAACAAAGTTACTTTTTTTTTTTTTTGAGAGGTGGAATGAGAGAGGGTCCATAAAATACTGAGAGGTATTGTTCAAAGCACTTAAGCATATCATCCTCTTTGCTCACTTATTCTAAGGAAATTCTAATCCAAGCAAACTAATGCCCCCTACTCATTCACTAGCACAAATGAAGAAAGTCCTTTTGCTAGGCATTGCAGACAGAATGGAGGCAGGAGGTAAGCAGGAAAAGATAAAAGGATAATTTTCTGGTTTCCAAAACTTTATGCAAAAACTGTAAAGTGGTAGTCTGTTGGTTGACTCCAGTTCTTGGACACAATGTGTTTTGCTCACAAAATGTTCAAGAGGTCAAATTAGTTGTTGACATCTTTACTGACATTCTATTAAATATTAAAATATATACAAAAATAGAAAGGATAAATAGCAAATACCTGTGTACTATCATTCGTTTTCAACAATGATCCATGTATGGTTATTGTTATCTGCAATGCTCACCACACCCACCTCATTTGATTAAATATAACCATAGCACCATCACTACCACCACCACAAAAAAATAATAAAATCATTAGTATCATCTAATAGCCAGAGTCAGTGTTCAAATTTCATTCATTTTTATTTTCTCTTCTCAGATTTGCTTATTTGAATCAGGTTTCCTATAGTTGGTTGATACATGAAATTGTAGGTCATTTCCTAAAAATCTTCAAAGTCAGTCAGGTTCTTTCTCATAGATCTACACACATATACGTACTTTATTTAATGAAGAGAACAAACCATTTTTTATAATAGCAATGCCCAGCATTTATATTTTGCTGAACATTCCTATAATTTAATACAATGTATTCTGTCTCCTATGCTGCTTCTAAATTGGTAGTTAGAACAAGAAGATTGATGAGATTTAGGCTCAGTTTTCTAGGAAGAACACATTCCAGGAAATGGAATATATTATTATTTTATTGCTACCGTCACAAATAACCACAAACTCGATGGCTTACAACAACACAAACTTATTATGTCATAATTCTGTATAAGTCTGACACAAGACTCAAAGGGCAAAAATTAAGGTGCCAGCAGCGCTGCTGTACTTTTTTCTAGAAGTTCAAAGGCGGCGGGGGGAATGCATTTTTTGACTTTTTCTAGCCTCTTGAGCCTATCCACATTCCTGGACTTGTGGCCTCTTTCATCTCCAAGGTCCACAATGACTGGTTGAATTTGGCTCATGTTTATCACTCTGATGATGAGTCTTCCACCTCCCTCTTCCACTTTTAAAGACCCTGGTAAATTCATTAGACATACCTGGATAATCCAGGATAATCTCTCCATTTTAAAGTCACCTGATTAGCAAATACAATTCTGTCCATAGTGTTAATTCTCCTTTGTTACATGATGTTGCATATTCAGGGGTTCTGAGATTAGGACATTGACATCTTTGAAGTGGATCACATTTTTCTGTCTACTGCATATTCTTTCAGGAATATGACATCTTCTGCTGTGATGTCATCAGACATTGGTGATCTTTGCCTAGAGGATCTATGATTTCAACCAGAGATTTCAAATTGGTAAAAAAAAAAAAAATCTATCATTTCTTAATTAGCTGGGATATTCCATCAAGAGAAATTACATTTCATTCACTGTTTACCCTAAATTATAGTTTACAAAACTTGAAAGGTGATTGATTTTTCCTCCTTTATTTATTGATTCTCAAAACATTGGTTACCTAGTATCCTCCAATAGGTTTCTAAACCTATTGGTTTAAAATTTATTTTTTAAAAAATATCATTACAGACATTTTTTTATTTGTTTCATTCCAATGTGGTTTCTATTGCTATTCAAGTTTTAATTTTCTTACCCTTGCTCAGTGGGAACCTCTTCAAGTTGGCCCCTAAGTCCTTTTAATATTATTCAGTAGTCTTTGATGGCCCTTTTGCTTCTGGTATGACAACATGATCCAGGGTTATTGCATTCATGTCCTGTTCCAGGCTGGAACCAGCCATTTCTAGTAAGAATGCTTGGTTTATTTTTGTGGCAACAGTATTTAGAGACCACAAACTGATAGCTTTGGGTGCTTATGGCTACTGGATTGACCCATTTCTGAGGACGGAGCTAGAAAATAAGTTCTGTGTTTTTTAAATAGAATATACCATGAATTCCCATTAAACTTCAATTCAAATTGAAGATATGAATGTTTCCATTTAACCTCATGGATCTTAAAGTGTTAGTAACTTTCTTACATACCAAAAAACTATGTTCTCAACACCAAAATGATTACTTATCTGATTTAACCCACAATATACAGAGCTGGTACTATTCTAATATTATAATTAAGAAAAACAATTTAAAATTTGTCTTAAAAAAGCTCTAGAGTGCATCCTTCTAGGCAGGCACAAATGACTGGATTTCAAAGCTACTTGAGTTGATTACATCCTGTAATCAACTTTCTGTCCAGTCAGTTTTACTTGTTTCATTCCTCCCCACCTCTCAAATTTTCATGACTGCTTTCTTAAGGCTTAGTTTTGTGAACTATTTAGATGGCACCAAAGTCAAATCTACAAAATAAGATATATTAAAAGAAGTCTAGCTTCTATACTTGTCCCTCCACCATGTTTCCTCTTCTCCAAATAAGTGTGGTTGTGTGCCCATATCAGTCAGGGTTCTCCAGGGAAATAGAAAAGGATGTGTGTGTGTGTGTGTGTGTGTGTGTGTGCGTACATACACATTCATTTTAAGGAGCTGGTTTCAGCAATTGTGGAGGCTGATAAGTTTCAAGATCTGCAGCTAGAAAGCTAGAGACCCATCTTAATAAAACACATCATATATACATATGCACACACACATACATATAAATACACACACACATGCACACACAGTGTTTACCAATTGATTCCTACATTTTCCCGAATACATTTGAAAACGGAAAGATCTGAAAAAAAATAATCCAGGTTATCAGCTTCTTGTGAAACTGGAAGCTCTAGGAAATCTGAGCCTGGTTTCTCACGTGGTCACCACTATCTGGAATTGAATAGCTGCTACCCTATGCTACTCTATGAATCATATGCTCTACAGTTCACCAGTTCCCATCCAGCCTATTTCACTAAGCTACATTTTCTCAGACTCCTGAGGTTTCTCACCAGAGACTACCATTTCTTCTCCCTGGCACTGCCATGTACTCTGTACATCAATACGTTCAGGACAGACACCACATTGGGGGGTACTGAATGACCGAGTGGGAAATGGGCACTTTTCCCCATCCCTCCTTCATAACAGCACTTCAGCCTATGCATGAGAACAGATTTTTCAGGTCAATGTTGTCCTTTCATAGATAGTGTGCCATCTGTATATTTCTATTTTTGGTACTTGTGGGGACAACTTTGCCAAAAGGACCCCAGACTAGGCATTCAAACCCAGTGAGAGAGGCATTGGGCTGGAGGGTATTCTCGTAACACACTAGTAGCATGTAAAATCCACAACAAAAGGAAAAAAGAAAAAGCAAATATCCACCTAATCCATCTCTGCACGCAACTGCAAAGGATATGTTAATTATCTTGCTTTAGATTATTCTAAAACAAGACTTTTGTTAGTGTGGAGAAGCAGACCTTTACATAGAAACATATACTAAACCTGAATCTATAAACTCTTACATAGAAGATTATATTTGGGGTAATTAGCTAGCATATTCCAAATAAAATATATCTCCCTCCCCTCTTACAGTATATAGATCTGCTATCCTTAACATTTAAGGATGACTTACTAGATGCTCATTACTACATTACTATACTCTGTGCTTTTCATGCTGTATTTCATTTCTTGATTGTCACTGAAAACTACCATGTTACTTCTTGAATGTAATCATAACAAAATAATCCTATGAATGTGAAATTATTTGGCTATAGAGTTGTTTATCATCAAGCCAGTTATGAGGGAAAAAATTTAAACTTAAAAACTACCTAAAAAATCTCAAGTGAAAAAGATAACTGAATATGATAAAATAGAACATGATGTATCTTCTGCAGAGATATTTAATAACATAGGCAAATGTAGATAATTCACTATTAATGAAATAATAAAGAAACCTATACATACATTTTATTCCATTTTTTAAAAGATTGATTGATTATGAGTCAGGGGAAGGGCAGAGGGACCTGAAAGTGAGAATCTCAAGCAGACCACTCCTCATGGAGTGTGGAATCTGATGCAAGGCCCAATCCCACCACCCCAAGATCACCACCCAAGCCAAAATCAAGAGTTGGATACAGACTGAGCAACCCAGCACCCCTCTTTTATGCCATTTTTATGTAAATATATATAAATATTCATACACATGCATACATATAATCATATGTGCACATAAAAAAATCTGGAAGAAATTTCATAGGAGAAAAATTCCAGAAAGAAATTTACTTGATACTGAAAAATCTTTGAAGTATTTAGTAGTATCTTAGTAGTTGCCTAAGATACGAGTGCTTTTTATTTTCTTCTTTTTACTTGTCTGTACTTATCATTTTTTTGTAAATAGCATTTGCAATTTAAAAACTTGTTATAAATTAAGTTCTTTTAACCTAATTTTATATTCTAAAATAAATTAAGATTTATTTTAAAAAGCAACATTTGTCAAGAATCTATGTCATATACTAAGTGCTATACACATATTATCTCATGCCATCTTCTCAATGATCCTATGAGATAGTTTTTATTTTCCCTATTTCACAAGTGAGAAAATTTACTGGTAAGTAGCTTGCTTCACAACTGCACAACTAGTCAGTGATGGGATCAGGAATATGAACACAAGTCTTTCCAATTCAAGCTATATGCTCTTACTCATTATTTTAACCTAACCTAATGTAAGTGAAAGCAATATGCTATAAGGTATTTGCTGCACTTTGTAGGGTCACTTTGATTTTCATTTTCTTGGGAGGACACTCAGCAA